TTATCCTATATCAAGTTCTAATTTTTATTTCAAAATTGAAGCTCTTTGTAAAAAGGATTAGAAAGGCAGGAGTCTTCATCTCGCATCCCAAATGGGATGTAGTAAGGCAAATGGGTATCTTTTATTGGTATACTTCCCAGGAAAAACAAAGTTTCAGGAATAAAAAAAATTTTAAAAAAAGACTTTCTGAAAACAATTCAATCCAATTAAGGTAGGAATATTTTTTACCCATATCAACATTCATATTCAAGCACCAATGCTGCAAATACTCATTTCTAAAAAACACTGATCAAAAAAGTGGAAGTTCATAATTCCACTCTCCACCCCAAAACACAACCTTCCACACATAAAATTAATCACCTTATATTTTAAGATAAGGTTATGACCATATTATAATAAAAATTCAGTTTAATCTAAAACTGGAAACTATGCAGAGCCTAATTTTCAAGGTTTGTGTTTTGTTTGCAGATGTTCATATTTAAATCTTACATATTTTCAGGAACTACAAAAAAAGATGTACACAGGCAGTAATTAATACTTAAGGATCACAAGCCTTGGATGAATGCTCATTTTACTTATTTCTTACAAGTGAAATACTTGGTTAGTCAGCAGTCAATCAAAATTGTTCCCAAACCAACTTAGTACCTGATGTCAAGGAAGCTAGCAATATTATGTTTACCTATGTAACCCAATTTTTAAATGTGGGAAAAAATAAGCATTGTCAGAGTGCAATAACAGGGTACACAATTCAATATTAATATTATTACCAGCACAGGAGATGCAGAAGCAAAGAAAATATATCACATTCTCTTTATATCCTCATTTTTGCTGAGCAAGCAAACAAAAAACCTCTTAATAATTTGATAAATTCTAAGAAAATGTTTAACAAGTTTATAAGCAAATAATTATAAACTTGTCTTTGTCTCTCCTCCCAAAATCAAATATAGCATCAATGTCCCTCTCCCCCAAAGCAGTATTTTAGTCTGGTGATAAACAGGAATAATAAATAGGAAAATCTTAGCTCATTCCTAAAACATTTCTGAATTTCTATATTTGCCAGGCTTTAAAATGAAAAACATAGCAAAATTAAACAGAAGAGCCCTAGCCGGTTTGGCTCAGTGGACAGAGCGTCGCCTGCGGACTGAAGGGTCCCGGGTTTTATTCCGGTCAAGGGCACATGCCCAGATTGCAGGCTCCATCCCTAGGAGGGGGCGTGGGGGAGGCAGCAATCAATGGTTCACTCCCATCAAGGATGTTTCTGTCTCTCCCTCTCCCTTCCTCTCTGAAATCAATAAAAACACATTTTTAAAAAATTAAACAGAAGACAAAAGGACATGGAATCTCTTCACTGGGGACAACTACACATAAAGGTAAATCATTTTATGCAAACATAAAATGTAATTTTTAAAGCTAGAAGGAACTGTAGAAGTTATCTAACATAACTTCAGTATTTTATAGTTAAGACATGTCAAAATAATTTTGCCATTATCTATGCAAAAATCTTGTATATTGTACATTTTTAAATTAAAATTTTTCTCAATGTCTAGAAATATGATTTACAAACATCCCTTCCCATATCAATGGTAATTTAAGTAGCAAAGAAGAATGAACATGAAACAGAAAAATCTCTTCATCTGTATTGTAGAATGTCACTCACCTGTTTTCACAAGAGGAAGGGAAATCAAACCAGAGATCAAAAGCTAGAAATTCCAAATACTGTAGTATCAGCCAAAACGGTCTGATCCTCCCTCCAAACATTTCTGGACTTGTGTTAAAAATAAAAAGCAACCTGGGCAGTCATTATGATAGTCCATGACTTAAGATTCTAAATCTCAGGATTAGACATTTTCCTGACATTCTGAAAAGTACTTTTAAGGATAAAAAGGAGAAGGGGAAAGAACTAATATTATCCTATATAATAATCCTATATAATAATCCTATATAATAAAAGGGTAATATGCAAATTGACCCTAACAGCTGAATGACCAGTCGCTATGATGCGCACTGACCACCAAGGGGCAGACGCTCAATGCAGGAACTGCCCCCTGGTAGTCAGTGCACTCCCACAGGCGGAGCTCTGCTTAGCCACAAGCCAGGCTGACAGCTGTGAGTACAGCGGCGGTGGCAGGAGCCTCTCCCGCCTCTTTGGCAGCACTAAGAATGTCCAACTGCAGCTTAGGCCCGATCCCCCAGGGAGCAGGCCTAAGCCGGCAGTGGATATCCCCCGAGGGGTCCTGGACTGTGAGAGGGCACAGGCTGGGCTGAAGGGAGCCCCCTCCTCCCCCGAGTGCACAAATTTTCATGCACTGGGCCTCTAGTCTATAATAATAAAAACATAATGTGCTAATTATACCAGACAACCTTCCAGACAAAGCAGGGGCTGTGAGGGAAGCCTGGGTCCCAGGTGCCTGCTGGTGGCCAAAGGGAAGCCCAGTCCTGGGTCCCAGGTGCCAGAGGGAAGCCAGTGCCAGCATCCAGGGGAAGGAAGGCCTACTCTTGCATGAATTTCATGCATCAGGCCTCTAGTGTACTTTATAAACATTAGCTCATTTAATCCTTACATCAACCCCAGAAAAGAGGGATGAATTGTATACATATTACAAAAGAAACTAAGACTCAAGAATTTATGCAATCTGGCCTGGCCATTTATGGCTGTTGTTTGGAGCATTGTCGAAGGTTGTGGGTTTGATTCCATGAGGATACATACCTAGGTTTCAGATTCAATACCGTCAGGGAGGATTCAGGAGACAACCCATTGATGTATCTCTCTCACATTGATGTTTCTCCTTCTCTCCCTTCCTCCTTAAGGTCAATTTAAAAAAAGTGTTTATACAATCTGCCTTAAAATTGCAAATATAATTAATTACCAATACAGGACCTGAACACAATCTAGTTTATTTTTTATCAAAATCCAAGATCTTTCTACATCATGTAGCCTCTATATTAATAGAGAAAATCATGTTAATATTATTTGAATCCTGAGATATTGATTCCTTTTACAGACATCAGAATATCTTTTATTGGCATCAACTGATGATAATCTAAAACAATATATTTAAAAAGATTTGCCCTAGCTGGTGTGGACAGAGTGTCTGACCCAAGGACTTAAGGGTTGTAGGTTCAATTCCATTCAAGGGCATGAACCTCCGTTGCTTGATCCCCAGCGGGGCGAGCTTGCAAGAGGCAATCAATCGATGTGAGATCGGTGTTTGTCTCTCCCCCTCCCTTCCACTCTCTCTAAAAATCAATGGGAAAATATCCTTGGGTGAGGATTAACAAAACAAACAAAAAAAATTTACTGGAAGATCCAACAATTTAATTATAGGCAACAGTCACACACAATCACGAAAAGTCCTATTATAGAAGGAAGACTAACCAGACATTAAAATGTATCCAAGGCCTCAAACTAGGAGATACTTAAAATACTATTTTGAGGAGAAACAAAAAATTGTGACGCTTATGCTTGAGTTGTTATAGGTTTAACTAGCTTTAGCAACAGTTCCAATAGTAAGCAAGGCTGTTTTTGTCAGGAGTCTGTTTCTAGAAAGTGGGTAGAGTAAGGTATCCAACTAATCCCCTAATCCCCAAGGGGAAATGTACCAGGGAGGGAGAAAATGACAAAGAGTAAATGCATAATGTAAAGCAGCCAAAAGTGGCCCTCTACCATAGTTTTACATAACTGAAAGATGTCTGGTAAAGCCATTCTAATTACAAACTAATTGTGAACATCATCCCCCAAATGACATAAGATTACGATTTATTAGAAACTGAGACAGCAACTACAAAACTGGTTATTAATGTTTGTCACAACAAACTGTAAACGCAAGGCACGTCCGCCCGGTCTACCATACACTTAACTTCTTAATAAGCGGCTTTAAGATGTAACAGAGCGTTTAAGTGTTAAACAACTTCTGACATCAGCATTAAAAACTTAACAGCTACTGCAGCCAGTACCTATATCGTGTTCGAGATGAGGAACTCAAAGAGAAAACGATTGAATGACCCGTCCAAGACCTGATGCTGCTAAACACAACCTAACACCAAACAACTTCTCCAGCTCAAAGGTTTTCCAAGTGGCGCACCCAACTCCCTGCAAACTCCACGGCGACTTTCTAAACCAGGTGGCCTCGCACCCCGGAAGTCCCCCTTTCAGTAAAGCGCACGCGGAAACGCGGGGACCCGCGCCCCGCAGGCAGGGCGCACCCGGTACTCGCTCAGTTCTGCCTCGGGGCAACGAGGCAGGCCACGTGCAGCGCGTGAACCTCGGGAAGCAGCCCCGCCGCGCCGCGCCGCCCCGCGCCCTCGGGTGGGTCCTCGGCTCACAACTGCCCGCCCCACGGGTTATTGATTCCCAGGCGGGCCTGAAGGGAATGGAGGGAGGCCGGCACCGTGAGACCCAGAACCAAAGAGCCGAGAAAAGATGGGCAGGGACGTAATCGTCGGGAAGCGATCACCTCTCCCAAGCTGTGATCAGCGGCCTCAGCGCGCAATAAGGTGAGACACCGTGGCGCATTTTCGCCGCTTCAGACCCCAATCGAAACCTCTGTCTTCATGCCAATGACAAGCGTGGGCCGGATTCCTCACGGCAGCCCTCACCACCCCAGGGCCCGCCAGTCTCCAGCCAGTCCGGGCTGGCACTAGGAGGGAAACCAGGCCTCTCAACCTGCGCACCACGGTGCGTCGGCACCCGGCCTGCCATCGCGACCGAAACGCGGACTCCCACCAAACCCCTCCCGCCGGCCAGGAGCATCTGCAGGTCCCAGACGACGGGGGGACTCTCTGACTTACGCAGTCCTCTGAGAAATTACCTTTGAACTGGCCTTCTGAGAGCCGCCTGGCGTTTTGTCCGCCATCTTGAGCTTTGCCCCTCCTTCGGCGGCGGCAGCAGCGCCGGCGAGTCGAGCGCCGAAAGAGTGGATCGCAGCGGAGCCCGCCAGAACGTCTGCAAGGCTGAATAGTCAACTGCCGAGATGGTGTTCCAGCTCTTGTGCATATGACTTCCGGAGTCTCCTTTTCCCGGCCCCGCCCACTACGCTGGTTTTTCTGGTTGTCTCGGTTGCTGGGTGTGTTATTGGACCCGCAAATTTAAAGAAGCTTCTGGTCCTGACTTTCAGGAGCTGCCAATACTTTACTATTTTTCAAGTGCCAGTCCCTGATAGGTGCGAGCCGGTTCTGCTTCCTGGAGAGGAGGAGACGTCTCCTTAAAGAAGAAAGGCACTGATCAGCTGGGCAGGATTTTACTTCAACTCCGAAAATAGGTCTGGAACGGCCTAGGGACCTGGTGCTCCGTGCAGACTTGTTCGCACCACTGGGGAGCTCACACCCTGATGGGAAACTTGCAGTCTGCTCAAGGTACTTGAATATAGAATTGTGCCCAGAAAGCGGAGAAGATGAGTTTTTGACCCAACCTGAGGTTCCGGCAATGGGAGATCGGACTCTATTTAGGGCGTCTACAGAGACAGGATAAGAGAAAATCATGAAGATACTATTCTAAGTACGTTCATACTGGGCCCTGAGGCAACCAGGGTGGTTAGGATTTAGAATTATGTTTTGAGGATCTAGAGTGGCCTTCAACAGAGTTAACTAGGACTGTGACTTGGTCAGATTTTAAGTTTTTAAAGATGGCTCTGAGGACTGGGGGAAGGGAAGAGGACAAGTTCATGACTTCACTCTAATTTATTTCTGCAAACTATTTTTGAGCCCCTTTTGTGTATAAAAGCCTGCCCAAAGTGTAGAGGCTTGCAGAGACAAAAATACGTTGTCTCTATATGATTTAAAACCTAATGAGGGTTGGGCAAGAGAACAGCAAACTAACACTGTAGAATTAAATTGATCCTGCAAGGAAAACTCAATAGCTGTGGGAACTCTGAAAGAAATAATTAATTCTGAGGTTAAGGTCGGGTAAGGAGATGGGGGAGATTTCACAGAGAAGGAAGCATTCGAACCAACTCTGAAGAAGTAAAATTTTGTCTGTTAGTGTTGGGAGCAGAAGGCGGGAGGTTGGGTAGTGGTGAGGGAAGCCGGTAGAACAGGATCTGTGTGCCAGACACTGAGGATTCAGCAGGCTAGGGCTCCTGTGTGAGGGGAGGGGTTAGAAGAACAAACAATAAACAAATAGCAAAAAAAAAAAAAAAAAAAAAAAGGATTTCTAAACAAGAAATAATTAGAAAGTGACAAGTGCTATACATTGAAATTAAAATGGAACAATGCTTTGCAACCTCCAGTCCAATTGAATCTATTTTCAATCTCAGATCTTGCTTTTTCAGTTTTGTACTTCTTCCCCCACCCTCATGCTGTCCTCTAATTGAAGGCTACTTTTTTGAAGATGGTACTTCCTCCAGGACTTTACAGACCTTCTTCCCCCGTCAAGCCTAAGTTAGAGACTGCTTCTGATCCATAGGAACCTACACTTTTCCACTGACGATGAGCTGGTCTCTATAAAGTAAATATATGCATGCTTTTCATTCAGATTCCTAAAGTTCTGCTTCTTATAAAAATAATTTTTACTAAATGTGTACCCCAAAAGAGTTAAAGTTAATGCAGACTTCTTCCCTCTCTTTTTCATACGATAAAGCCCTGAAGGAAGTCAGACAAATCTGACCTGACTATAAGTTATACCTAGGCCTTTATTAAGGCCTAATTAAGTGTACTTACTGCCCTAACTGGTTTGGCTCAGTGGATAGAGCGTCGGCCTGAAAACTCAAGGGTCCCGGGTTTGATTCTGGTCAAGGACATGTACCTTGGTTGCGGGCATTTTTAAATTGGGAGAATTTACTTGTTTAATACTCAGGATTTCCAGCTTTTCTTGAAAAATGGAAAAGTCTGGCAATGAGCCACAGCAATTTCTTGGAAATCGGGCTGAGCACTCCAGTTCACCAGGCTGTCACCACACACATGCTGTGAACAAATAAATGCCCCACAGCCAGACTGCTTGAAGGCATTTGAGTTTTCTACTTGTTAGTGTAAGAAACACCCCAACCTGCAGAGAATTTTTATAAGCTTTTTTGACCCAAACTGACTACATATGCCAGGGAGCAAGATCTCAAATTCTTCGAATAACAGTTTTGCAGCTTCTGCATTTGAAATTAAGGAGGGGATGTAAGGACGATTACATGGAGGTGGGAGAAAGCAAGGCAGGAATTAACTGGATTACAGGATAGTAACAAGATTATGTGATCTCTTGAGGGTTAATATTATCTTTTAAGGGGAATTAATTCTGGTATTTCACAGATGTGTTGATCTAGAGCAGCATTCTCAACCTGTGGGTCGTGACCCCGTTGGGGGTCGAACGACCCTTTCACAGGGGTCGCCTAAGACCATCAGAAATTACATATTGCTTTTTTAAAATTTTTTTTAAATCTTTATTGTTCAGATTATTACAGTTGTTCCTCTTTTTTCCCCCATAGCTCCCCTTCCCCCAGTTCCCACTCCACCCTCTGCCCTTACCCCCCCACTGTCCTCATCGATAGGTGTACGATTTTTGTCCAGTCTCTTCCCACACCCCCCACACCCCTTTCCCCCCCGAGAATTGTCAGTCCACTCCCTTTCTATGCCCCTGATCTGTTATATTCACCAGTTTACTCTGTTCATCAGATTTTTTATTCACTTGATTTTTAGATTCACTTGTTGATAGATGTGTATTTGTTGTTCATAATTTGTATCTTTACCTTTTTCTTCTTCCTCTTCTTAAAGAATACCTTTCAGCATTTCATATAATACTGGTTTGGTGGTGATGAACTCCTTTAGCTTTTTCTTATCAGTGAAGCTCTTTATCTGACCTTCAATTCTGAATGATAGCTTTGCTGGATAAAGTAATCTTGGTTATAGGTTCTTGCTATTCATCATTTTGAATATTTCTTGCCACTCCCTCCTGGCCTGCATAGTATCTGTTGAGAAATCAGCTGACAATCCTATGGGTACTCCCTTGTAGGTAACTGACTTTTTTTTCTCTTGCTGCTTTTAAGATTTTCTCTTTGTCTTTTGCCCTTGGCATTTTAATTATGATGTGTCTTGGTGTGGTCCTCTTTGGATTCCTTTTGTTTGGGGTTCTCTGTGCTTCCTGGACTTGTAAGTCTATTTCTTTCACCAGATAGGGGAAGTTTTCTGTCATTATTTCTTCAAATAGGTTTTCAATATCTTGCTCTCTCTCTTCTTCTGGCTCCCCTATAATTCGGATGTTGGTACACTTGAAGTTGTCCCAGAGGTTCCTTACACTGTCTTGATATTTTTGGATTCTTTTTTCTTTTTGCTTTTCCAGTTGGGTGTTTTTTACTTCTTCGTATTTCAAATCTTTGACTTGATTCTTGGGATCCTCTTGTCTGCTGTTGGATCTCTGTATATTATTCTTTATTTCAGTCAGTGTATGCTTAATTTCTAGTTGGTCCTTTTTCATATCCTCAAGGGTCTCACTAAATTTATCGGCGGTTTCTAGAAAATTCTTGAAAAACCTTGTAACCATGGTTTTAAACTCTATATCCAGTAGTTTGCTTTCCTCCATTTCTGTCATTTGTGACCTGTTTCTTTGTCTCCGCATTTTTTATGCTGTGTCGATAGAGTGGCTTTCTGTGCTAGGTGTCCTATAGGGCCCAGTGGCTCAGCCTTCCCAATTTCCTGGGGTGGACACTCTTGGTGCACCCCTTTGTAGGCTGTGTGCACAGTCTTGTTGTAGTTAAGCTTTGATTGTTGTAGGTATCACTGGGAGGAATTGACCTCCAGGCCAATTGTCTGTGAGAATCAGCTGTGTCTACAGTGGGAGAACTTCTGTGCTGAAGACACCCTTCTGGGGCAAGACTTGCTTCAGTGGGGCTTTGGTGCTCACTGAGTCTGCCCCCTGAGTGTGTCCCTTATGGATCTGAGGAGTTGTAATCAGGATGGTGCCAATCTGACCACTGGGTACACAGGCTCTTGGATCTCTAAGGAGGTGCTAATTTAGCCTCTGCCTGAGGCTACCCAGCAAGAGCTACGGAGAGATCTGCAGGTTCCTCTTCCTTGTTTGGGTTTTGGAGGTGCCCAGATGAGGCCCAGCTGTGAAGCAATGCAAGCTGCTGTGGGGCCTTGGGCCTTCTCTTGGATGTTCTGGGTCTCTCACCCCGCTGCAGTTTGTTAGGTAATTTTAGATCTCAAAGGGCCAGCCCATTCATATGCAAAAGCCTCTGCGTGCAGCTTGGGTGGGGCAGGGACTCAGGAAATCAACAGGGCGTAGCAAACAGCTATGGCTGATCCTCAGTCCTGCCCTAAGAGGACCCGGGTCTCAGTGTCCCACAGTAATCGCTGCAAGCACCTCTGAGAAAAACCGCCCTCGAGTTCTACCCGCTGCCAGACAGTCCAGTTTCTCCCCATATCAGTCTGGGTCCCCAGAGATTCGCCCGGAACTGGAGTCAGGGCCGTCGGGAGCTTGTGCCTCCCTCCCAAATGCAAAAGACACCAGCGTCCTCCGTTGCCAGCCCCTTTCCACACATGCTCAAGCCTCCGTACCTCTGCACTTTACTTCCGCACCTCCTCTGAGTCTCAGTGTGCTTTTCTCTTTCCTTCTAGTTGTAGAATTTCCACTCAGCCAGCCTTCCTGTGTTTCTGGATGATGTCTGTTTTGTCTTTTAGTTGTATTTTTGAAGTGGTTGTGCAAGGCAGCAATTTCAGGTGTTTACCTATGCCGCCATCTTGGTTTCTCTCATTACATATTGTTTTTGTGATTAATCACTATGCTTTAATTATGTTCAGTTTGTAAGAATAAAATTGGGGGTCACCACAACATTAGGAACTGTATTAAAGGGTCGCGGCATTAGGAAGGTTGAGAACCACTGATCTAGAGGCACAAAAACAATGGACAAGGCTGGCTAAAAACTTTCCACTAAAGAAATTTTATGCCTGGGGTGAGACTACCCACCGTGACCTGCCCAGTTTGGATTTTATGACTAGATCACCCTATGAAGTTACTTTCCAAAGTATCCCTTTTTTTTCCCATCCACATACTTCTCACATACAAATTTAAGTCTTACCAAAGGTGATGATCAAAACATTTAACAGTCAGTTCCCAGGCACCAAGGAGAACTAACATCCATTTGGCAAGGAAAGTTCTGAACCCAGGGCCCACAGATACTTTTAAGGTCTCCCAAAATGTTTTGATTTATTTTAAAATAAGTGAGGGAGGGGGAGGAGGTAGAGTGGAAAGGCTACAACAAAGGCAGCATTTAACATCTATCCTATCTAATAATAGACAAACATGGTAATTGACCATACCTTCACTACGCCTCACATAGGCTAATCAGCATGATATGCAAATTAACCGCCAACAAAGATGGCGGCTAATTTGCATACTGCAGGCAGGACAGGACAGCACAGCCGCCAGCACAAGCTGCCATCCCGGGCAGCAGGCCGGCCCCAGAAGCCACAGAAGCCAGTGATCAGGGGGAGATGGGGGGTCCCCTGCCCAGGCCTGACACCTCTGGCGGAGGCGTCAGGCCTGGGCAAGGGGCTGATCTGGCGATGGGAGGGTAATGGGGGTCAACACCTCTGGCTGAGTTGTCATGCCTGGGCGAGGGGCCGATCTGGTGATCGGAGGGAGATGGAGGTCCCCTGTCCAGGCCTGACACCTCTGGCGGAGGCGTCAGGCCTGGGCAAGGGGCTGATCCTTCGATCAGAGGGTGATGGAGGTCGACACCTCTGGTCAAGGCCTGGGCGAGGGAGGAGCCGGTGATCGAGGGGAGATGGGGGTCCCCTGCCCAGGCCTGAAGCCTGGGCCAGAGGCGTCAGGCCCGGGGTGTGGGGGAGGGGGGAGGCCAGCCGGCAATTGGTGTGAACTACAGAGGAAACACCTTTTCTGACTGCTCATTGCCTAAGCTCCCTGTAAGCCACTGGTAATATTCTTAGTAACTTGGGTAATAAGAATCCAAAAAGGTGATCTAGGGTTTTTCACCACACTCCTGGCAAAAAAAACGAAGGTCCGCTGCTGGAGGGCTAAGAAATGTCATATCCTGCCCTAGCCACTTTGGCTCAGTGGATAATGTCTTGGCCTGCCGATGGCAGGGTCTGAGTCCATTCTGACCAAGGGCATGTACCTAGGTTGCAGGCTTCTCCCTGGCCGGGGCCCAGGTCAGGGCTCATGCAGGAGGCAACCAATCAAAGTGTTCCTCTCACTTTGATGTTTCTCTCTGTCTTTCCCTTTATCTTCCACATTCTCTAAAAATCAGTGGAAACATATCCTCAGGTGAGGATAAAAATAATAATAAATTATTATTATATGAAAGACACATCTTGAAAATGCCTAAAGAAAGTTGTTATTTTTTCATCGTGAAGGGACTGGAGTCTGTGTTGATGAAAAAACCTTGCTGGCTGCGGTGACTGGCAGTGGCTACAGCAGCGGGGTGATGGGGCTGGTGCCTTCCACTGATCAGCTCGGTCACCTCCCACAAAGGGAGGCGAGACTGCAGCTTAGGCCCTATCCCC